CCTCGCGCGCGTTGCTGACCCTGAAGAAACCTCTTTAGCCCTCTTTTGAAAAACCCCATGCTGTAGTCTCTTAGGAAAACCGCTACCTCTAAAATCCACGTATACGAAGTAGCGGATAAATAGTTAATAATTAATAAAATAAATCATTAATATTAGTCTTATAGTTTTATTATCTGATATATAAAATTTTCGTGTCGCGTTGTTTGTTACCAAACTCCTCCGAAACGAATTTTGTGTGCATATCGGGTCGGTTTGAGATTCGGCCAACACCTATTTTTCATACCCCTCAATGACAAGGGTCACCCTTAAATTTTTTTTCCACAACTTTTTTTATTCTTATTTGATTATGATTCAGCAATGTAAAAGACCCATAACCTCAAATTTTCACCCTTATACGATCAATCCCTGTTTTTCAATCGCGATTTATATTCTTGCAATAGGGTTGCAAGATGGCAATTGACTATCATAATTGTAGTATGATGAATTTTCATGTATAATTCTAGAAATAATGTATATGGTGGTGCGTTGGGGGATTACTTTTAATTAGTATTAGTATTTAAGGAATTTTATATTAACTTTAATTTATTGTTGTATTGTTTTTATGTCCTGTATCTAATTTTTCTTAATTTCCAAATAAAAGATGTATATGGTAAAACAACGTTTGCTGGATCATCTAGTATATATAGATAAACCCATATACATATTTATATATACATATTTAATAGAATAATATAATACGGCGGCGACAGAAATAATAAAAAATTAATGCCTATAAAATTATGTAACTGATTGCTGTTGCTGATCACTTTATCTCGAATTACATCAAGGTTATTAATATTGGATTTTTATTATTGCATTCGAGGTCTGTGTATGTTTGATTCTTAACGTAATTAAAAAAAAATTGGGATAGCCTTTTTAGATTAATAATAATTGCACGTCACAACGAATACCTTATTGATTCTTTATCATCATCATCTCGGCCATTATCCGTCCACTGCTGGGCATAAGTCTCCCACATAGACTGCCATAAACGGTCCAGAGCCACTTGCAACCACTGACTCCTTTGCAATGCATTTGAGGTTGTCACTCCATCTAGTGGGGAGTCCTGACGGCCTACTATGAAATGTTTTCCGAAATTTCGGAGCCAAACGAAACACAAATTTGATGTTAAAATTACATAATACACACCGTTTGGAAATATTAAAAATGCTAAAATATCATTCCTTTGGACTTTTATGGTAGGATGTATGACGAACGAAATGTTAAACTTCATTTGTTGGTTCGATTTTGGTATAAACAAAAACACGATATTGAGTCCGAAAATACGGAATTTCATTTCATGGTAGACCCGCTGCACTGCATACTACTGTTACTAATTGCTACTATTTAAAAAATAATTTTGTTAAAAAAAACATAGAACTTCAATCGTGATAAAAACAAGTATGTAGTTTGAAGACTATTCTACTGAACTGGGGGCCTACCATGAAATGAAATTCCGAAGTTTCGGACTCAATTTCGTGTTTTCGTTTATACCTAATACAGCCCAGTAAATGGAGCTTAACATTTCGTTTGTCATAAATCCTACCATAAAAGTCTAAAAGAATAAAATTTTTAATGTTTTTAAACGGTAAGTTGTATGTAATTTTAACATTAAATTTGTATTACGTTCGGCTCCGAAATTTCGGAAAACACTTCATGGTAGGCCTTCTGATTTGAATAAAATTTCTACAAGACTAATTTGAAAATAAATACTTTCAGACAAAAAAATCCAATCGGTTTATAAATTGCAGAGTTATGCGAGAACAAACACGAAATAAAATACAGACGAATTGAGAATCTTACTTTTTTATGAAATCAGTTGAACAGTGCTGATTCGAAATTCAAAATCTCACTGTGACTAAGTATAAATCTTACTTATAGATAAGTAAAAAGTTTTTTTTAGTTATTTTTTGAAGGAAACAATAAATAGTATCTATTTATATATATTTTTTTCTTTTATACAACTTAGAATGACAAACAAGCTGACGGCCCACCTGATGGAAAATGATAACAGTCGCCTATAGACATGAGCAGTACCATGGACATAACAGAGTATACTGTTTCGCCCATGATACACCCCCCCCCCCATACGTTGCCATTACTAAGAACTTGTGCGTTATTCCTCTGTACCCTGTAAATTCACGCCTTATCTATCTATAAAGTAGTAAAAATTGGTTCTTGTGTAAAATGCACGATCTATTATATCTATTGACGTCTTTTAATTAAAAAATTTGTATCCTTATTTAAGCAAGAAATTAGATTTGCATGTCTACAATTTTAAGGCAATTAAACAGATGCCAAAAAGTTTTGTCACATGGCCCTTATAATGTCAAATGTCTGTTTAAAGCAAATAAATATTTCATTTCATTTCAAATATTTCATTTCATTTCAAATATTTTATTTTATTTCAAATATTTCATTTCATTTCAAAAAAAGTAGTAATATTATTTATTAAGTATATACTTTTGATTTTAAGACAGTTACGCCACAGATAATATAATACTATGGTTACGCTTTAATATTCAATAATAATCTATTTAACATAGGTGCTATATTATTGTAGGATTGTTTTTGAATCGTATTTCACTCTCGTTACATCCATACTTAATTCATATATCTAATACTAGTACATAGGTGATAGTGAAAGTTTAGCATGATGAGACAATTTACAAAAGCTACGAGACGATAGGAATACTAATGACATTAAAAAAGTAGATGTACTCGAGTAGAACAGTATTAAAAACATCTGTCTAGCATTTGTTTTGTTATTTATTCGCTTTCGGCGTGCATTAACAATTGATTTTGGCAATAATGAATGTGTACCTTGTTTGACATTTGAATGAAAGAAATAAAAGAAAAAGAAAGAAAGAAAACATTTATTGACAACAAGAAAAAGTTACATAAATTATGAATTAAAAAAAAAAACTTTACATTTATTATTGCCAACGTGGTCACCACTCAGCATGTGCTGCAGCAATTTAATTGCTACAGCGCTGATATTCTGTGGTGCCCATACGTGACATTACGAACGACGACAGCAATACATACATATATATATATATATATATATATATATATATATATATATATATATATATATATATATATTATATAATGCTGGTCTTATTTTAGTTTTGGTCTTCTAAGCAAGTGGTTTACAAATCTATTTATAGTCACGTTATCATACGTTATTCCATGTAATGAAGTGAGACAACAATATTCGGCATTTGGTTCTTTATTGTATGTCATCATCATCATCATTTCAGCCATTATTCGTCTACTGTTGGACATAAGCCCCCCCATAGACTGCCATAAAGAACGGTCCTGAGCCACCTGCATCCACTGACTCCCTGCAATGCATTTCAGGTTGTCACTCCATCTAGTGGGGGGTCGTCCTACACTGCGTTTGCCCGTACGCGGTCGCCACTCAAGAACCTTTCTTCACCATCTTTATTGCGTGTATAAAAATGATAATGATAGATTCAAACATCTAATCCACCCGATTGTTATTTTTACTCATCTTGCAGCAATTAATTTTTAACCAACTTAAAAATAGGACGTTCTATATTTCATTGTTTTTATTTAAGTTTATTACCTCATAACTCTCATAGTTGTAAATCGATTTGTAAAATTCCTTTTTATCTGAAAAGTTATACTTACAGATTTTTTCCATAGAAATTTTATTAAAATTTGTTTAAAGATCTAAGTTTTAGACCAAAACAACTGGTTTTGTCACAATTGAAGTCGGTTTTTTTATTATTATTCTACATTTTATTCCATGTATTCGTCTGTGACTTACAAACATCTAAAACGTACAATTACATCTAACCCAATCATGTAGTTACAAATATCACACGGTTTCAAAGGGCTGATTGCTACAGTACATTGCATAAACATAAATTATACAATCTTGGGTGAATTTATGAAGCAGTATTACTTGTTCTAACATTACAAATGTTAATAAAAACATTTAAGCAATATCTTCTTAAAAATCTTAAATGCTAAACTAAATTAGGACCCACTTGATGGAAAGTGTAATTTTTTTTTAATGGATGAAAATGGAATGGCAACCCCACTTGCGCTATCGATATAAGCTGGCGGAGTACCAATTAGAGATGATAGGTGAGGATGAATGCAATTCTAATTAGGTTTTTTTTTATACAACTTAGAATGGCAAACAAGCTGACGAACTACCAGATGGAAAGTGGTAACCGTCGCCTATAGACATGAGCAGTACCATGGACATAACAGAGTATACTGTTTCGCCCATGATACCCCCAAACGTTGCCACTCCTGCGGACTCAGATGTTATTCCTCTGTACCCTGTAAATTCACGCCATATATCACCCTTCAAACCGAAACACATCTATTTCCCACTCATATTTCTGTCTAACTAAGCAGACGACTTTTATGCAAAGTTTCCTTCTGATAAAACTAAATATTATTGTATTATTATATATTTATAACCCAAAAGTTTTCTAAATTAGCTAAGCTTCTGGTGCTCTTATTGTACTCTCAGATGTTTGTGACTGATTGTTCCTAATAACTCAAGGTACAGCTCGAGGACCGAGCGATTGCTGTGAATGTGTAAACACTTATTAAAAAAAAATTGAACATAGAAATAATAGACTTTGCATTTCGCAATCCAATCGAACTCATCAATCGACTTTCATTTGAATTTACTTCAATTATGTAAATCACAACTCCATGCAAATGTGTTGTTCTCGATCGATTACCGAACAATTACGTTTACACACAAAGGTTACATGATAATTATGGTAAAAATCTAACTGTCTGTTGACTTTTTTATTTCTATCTCCCAACGAATTTCTAGCTATTGTTCTAAGATGCCGATAGACTGTCAATGCGAACGAATATATACACGTAACAAATGGAGCACACACACATGGAAGGTATAAGTGAAACGGTGTATATAAGCGATGTAAATTACAATCGCTAGCACAACCTGACACCCTCTCGTGCAACAAGCAATTGTAGCAAGCAGCCAGCAATGAAATACCACGTGCGTACTTGTGTTGTGTTTGTGTTTGGTGCCAGTGACCGTGCTTGGAGGAAGTGAATTTAAATCTTAAGATATATCGCATTAGGATTATATTCTAACGTTAATTTGAACCAATTAACAGTGAATTTTAGCAGATAAAAAATATTGTTTTTTTTTTTTATATTTAAAGAAATAATTGCATTCTAAAAAAAGAAGTCCGTAATATTATAGCCAATAAGTTGAGAATATGTTACGCAAAAAAAAAAACGTAACAAAATTAATATGGATCGTAAATAAAATAGTAAATACACAATTATAATATTTAAGATAAAAATAATTATCAAAATCAGGTCAGAATTAACGACATAATTGCATAACATAGCAATAAAAAGACAACAGCATAACATTTGATTGGGAAATTCTTTTTTTTTAGAGACCTATTAAAATGTAGTTAATATTTACAAGGTATTAATAAATTCATCTATAAAAATAATACATTTTATTAAAAATAATTTATAATTTTAAGTTGTTTCTAAAAAAAAAAAACATAAAACACTTTCATTTATGTATCGATTTAGTAAAACTATATTTGAATAATTCCACATCGGCATGATCAGATTTATAGGAAGACTTTCACGTTACGTAAGCCCTAAATGCGGTGTTCCTCGTATCATTGCATTCAGCGAAACAGGTTTCGTAAGAACTAACTCACAGTATCACGAAGATCTCGAGTCCCTTGCTACTAATTGGCAACCATGTCCATTATTGCATCAAGAGGAGGTTTAATTACAATGATTTCCTTCGATGCAAACTAATTCGTAGCACAGTTATCCTTCAACTTAATCTCTTTATTATTTTCAAAGCAAAACTGATAGTTATTTTCTTTATCAGGTTTTCCTGGGATTCCTGGCCATCGCCGCCGCCTACCCCGGCATCATCCACGAAGAAACACCCCAACTGGACCACCATGCCATAATCGGCGAGTCCGGACACCATCATCAGATTCAGCATGAGCACGCCAAGTCACATCAGTCGATCAAGTTCGAGCACTTCCACCCAGTGCCCGTTTACATCAAGAAAGAGCACCAGCATTTACTTGAGCACCCGCTCGAGAAAGGAAAGACTGAGCAAAACCTAAAGCTGATCCACCCTGAGACCGAACACAAACTCGGCGGTGGTCTGGTGCTTGAAGACCACAGACTCGACACAGAGCATCTTGCTCAGGCTCTTGAACACCAGGGAGCTGGTTTGGAACAGGGAGGTTACGAGCACGGAGGCTATGAGCACTTAGGTGGCTATGAGGGTTACGAGAGCGGGGAAGGATTGAAAGCTTACGCGGAAATCCAACCGTCTCAGGGCCATTACGTCCCTGAGCACGGCCAGCTGCTTTCTGGTAACAGTGGAGAGAGCTACAAGTTCGGTGGATATTAATTGTGAATAGTTTTATTTATGAGCATTTGAGGAGTCCTTCCTCAAAACTAATTAAGGTCTGTTTCTTGCCTGTTATTCTTTATCTGGTGATAGCACTCATGGAGAGGAACTGCATGTTCCTTTCAAGTTTCCAATTCCATTCATTACGAACACTATTTCATTACATTTCTCGTGCCCAGTATTGGAACATATGAGTTTATATGAGAACTATGTTCCTCTTTATGAGTTCCTAAAACCACTATTATATTAAAACTTATGCTTAGGATATGTAATAGAGGCGCCCTTATTTCGGCATTAAGTACCTGATTTAGGCTAGAAATTGTTCAGTACATTGTATTATCTCTATACGTAATACCTATTGGAATATTGAACGTTTATCTGATTATGTGAAAATTATGAAATAGTTACGGCCGCCGCGCATGCGTAGAAAGCAGCGGGTCGTGCTCGTGTAATAAGGCGGACGGTTTTGTCCGTGTGTTTGTTGTACTCGGCGTTCCCTCGCTTGATGTTAGTAATTATTGTGACCGTCTATTGAGTCCCAGTGAAATTGTGATATTAAAATGTTTGTTTTAATTTAATGTTTTGTTTTTTTTTATTATCCTAAGATATACTTATAAAGACGTCATAAAATGAATATGTCAGCAGGAATATAAATATTTGTTTGTATTGTATTATAAAAGTAAACCCGTGATCGTTGGGAGGAAAGGGATTGTTAGCAATGGAGACTGAGAATCCCATTGCTAGCAATATACCCAACCAGGTCGACCTGCTCGCGGTTCTCCCTGGAAACTATCATGGTTAATTCCTGATGAATTCATCATAATGGGCAAAATGACCTGTTTTTATTCTCATCTATCACCCTTCGCTGGTGTTCCGCCAGCGTATCCCGGTAGCGCAGTACCATACCATTTTCACACATAAAAAAAAAAAAACACGTGTTCGTTTGAATTACATTATAAAAATACCTCATAGTAAAGCTCGTTCCCATAATACGACTATCAACTATAAACATTTCTAATTAAAAAAAAGGGAAAACCTACTCATTGCTTTTTAGAACATAAGTAGTAGTTTCATTTTTTCCTTTTCTTTTTAAATTTATTTTAGGCGCATTTTTCTATATATGCCAGTCCCATGTTAACTTATATACGTATTTGGCACGCCTGTCTCCATTTCCCATTTTATCTTAATGTAATTTCTAAACACATTACATACAGATAATAAATAAATACAACATAAATTAATAATATAATTAAATAAATTTATGTTAACCAATCATAATAAAAATTAATTTAGCACCTTGATCTAAAAGCCCCATCAGAATACTCTCTAAAAAGTGCATTTCATTAGGTCTGGTAGTTTTTTCGCAATGCCCGAATAAACATTTTTTTTTTATACAACTTAGAATGGCAAACAAGCTGACGGCCTACCTGATGGAAAGTGGTAACCGTCGCCTATAGACATGAGCAGTACTATGGACATAACAGAGTATACTGTTTCGCCCATGATGCCCCCATGCGTTGCCATTCCTGAGGACTCAGGTGTTATTCTTCTGTACCCAGTAAATTCACACCTAAGTTAAAGAGTTATACAGTAAATATTTAGTCAAGTAGATAAATTAAAAAAAAAATCTTATCTTGAAGAGCCCTCTTATAAATATTTCTTAAAAAAATATGTACAAATATGGTCTGGTTACAATTTTATGGTGCGTATGTAAATGTATGGATAAGTACATTATGTCGCTTCTACGGTTATAATTTTGTGACGCCATTGTTGGGCACCATGGTCTTGCCTAATTCTACAGAGAATCACCAATGCATGAAAGGTTTAATGTTTGGAGATTGAGAACGTTGTACTATGTTTATGGTGTGTTACGTTATGGTACGGTAAGCTCCAGGGAAATCTGACACACAAGAGGCGTAAAATCTTATTTCTTTGATGTAGCAACGACTAATAAGTACCGGCATTGTATGTATGCTGGCATTATTTTAAAGATATAATTTTTTATGAATATATATATATATATATATATATATATATATATATATATATATATATATATATATATATATATATATATATGTATATTCTTCTATAGATACGGTTAACACTTTGTATCAAATGGGCAATGAATTTGGTTCGGTAGTATGAAAATTAAAATTTACATAACATTGAGTTTAAATTTGAGTCTCCCAAAAAAATTAATTCCCCTAAAGGTTTAATATTAAATACTTACTGTATTTATAATCATCATCATCATTATATCATCCGTCTACTGTCACTGAGGAACAAAGGCCTCCCTCAAAAGGAAGGTTATGCCAGCTTTGGTGATGTTTTAAGAAGGACGCTGCTGTCAATCGCTTGGCCATTAAGTTCCTTTAATCGTCTCTTACGAGACCCATAGGAAAGGAAGAGGTTGGCCTATTCTATACCAGGGCTACATAGCAAAATATTATAATAGATAACAAAATATAAGTAGGAAATAATCACCACCTGGTCCTCGAGCTGGGATATCCTGTGTGATAAGGTATTAAGCAACGAACTTATGGATACACAACGCAGAAAGAGAGGAATCTGAAACAATTAAAAAAAATCCTTTATTGACCCGTCTGGATATCGATCTCGGGACCATATTTATGCAAATCAACATGCCTGCCACTGCGCCTAGGAGATACAGATAATTTACATGTGACTAATTATATAAATCAATGTATACCCTGGTACTCACGAAATCAAAACATACAAAAAGTGTGTGTAAACTTTTTAACAACTTCTGGATGATTGTTTGTTACCTCATAACTCCGTCAATTGTAAACCGATTTGGAAAAATATTTTTGTATCCTTTTAAATTCAAATTTAAATTATCTTTATTCAAATAGACTTTTTCAAACACTTTTAAATCGTAATTTTTTTTTACTCTACTGCAAGGTTTGAAAAGTTGTTGAAACTCAACAGTTACTCTTTTAAAACTCTATTAACATTATGTGTTTTTATGGAATTGTACTAAGTCGACAATTATTGGTCATTAAATAGCCCATGCATGATCGATTAACACCATGCATGTATATAAACTAACACCATGCGTTCAGAATACACTTACAGATTGATCCCATAGAAATTTTATCCAAGATCAGTTCAGCGTACAATTTACACAGCGTACGGGCGTGTGGGGAGCGGAAGCAAAATCCTTCATAAAAGAGTTGAGTCTGCGCATTGCGGATGGGGGCCATGATCGCCGTTCTGGTTCGTATCTTGCTCAAAGGATATCTCTGGCAATCCAACGCGGAAATGCCGCAAGTGTCATGGGGACCTTTGGGTCGGGTACGGATCGTGAATGGGACTGATTGTTGAATTTTTTTTTGTTGTGATACTGTGAAATGTATTAGTTTTAACTTAATAACTAGCTTAATATAATTTCTTGTTTGACAAATAATTGGCTGTAAAACATTGAAAAAATAAACTAGTATATATCTATTGGTTACAATAATAAGAAACCTATATGTTCAATAATTTAATTTTTAAACCAAAATAACTGGTTATATCACAAATAAAGACAGTTTTTCTGTGTAACGCAATCTTAATTTTGTACATAAAAATTTTTTTGACTACTGTGTTTTTAATTATAAACACGAATCCAAAATTCCACCAAATGCCAACAGTTATAGCAGCAATAGAATAAAAGGTAATTAATAATTTTGTAGTTTCCTCGTCTAACAATTCAAAAACAGCTATCTATCTACCAGTGGAGTGGAGCGTGTCTAACAAATAGTGAGGTAACATGCGGCAACCAATATATCTTTAGCTTTGTTATCTAAATCTACGTAACTACTGTAACTGGATGGCCGATCACGCGATACGTTTACTGTCTACATTTCTCTATATTTTCAGACTATATTTATAAACATAGACGTTCTCGTGGCGTAGTGGCGGACATTTGCTTTGCACAAGTAAGGTATCGCGTTCGATTCAATGTCAGTCGATTCATTAAAATATTTTTGTCTGAATTGAGACTCAATTGTCTCGAAGTTTTCAGCGTTGTGCCTCAATATATTTCCCCTCTGATTCCTCTTAACACGAGGTCTCCTAGTTAATATTTTTGTCTTAATGACTCAGATCTAAGTGTTTTGGGTTGTGACATCATTAAGTGACTTTGAAAAAGCGAATCTGTCTAATTTTCTTGAGGCCTTTATGCCCCCCCCCCCCATAGGCACGGTTTGATATAATCGGAGGCAGTGCCTGCACAATCATTAAAGAGTGTTTTATATTGCGATTTATTGATTGCGCATCTTGTAATCACACTTTGTATTTAATTGTAGAATCATTTATCATTTCTATTCATTCACTTCTAACATTAATCATAATTTTAATTTCTGTTTTTTTTTATTTATTTTAACAGCAATTTTGACAGCAATTAATTGTTCTCTAAAACTGAAATTAGATTATATAAGTATGCTACACTATACATATAATTTAAGTTTGGCCATAAATAAAAACTGTTACATAAAAACTTTTCTTTTTTTCATATATAATAATTATAGTATATAATTATTATTTATTTAATAGTAGTATATAATTTTTATAAATTTTAGTAATATTACATTACTTCATAAGTAAATGCATTTTAATTTATAACAAATTTTATGGCTGGACTAGGTATATATATTTTATTATAATATCTATATTACTCAGTAGCCAGGTATTTATATATTTAATGACAAAATAGATATATTTTTAAAATGTTGTTTTCAGTTTTTTAATTTGTAAAATTAACCTATGGCTTACTACACGTTTTGTGATACTGTAAGTGTGGTGAGTAATTTATGAATAAATAAATAAATTGAAGTCGATATTTACTATGGCACAAGCATGAAGGAAAGGAAAGAAAGGAAATTGTTGGTTTGTATATTTTGCATTTTGTTTTTTTTTTTTTGTTTTGTTGCTTTTTTATTTTCATTCTTTTATCTCTTTTACTGTGTATTATGTGTTTATTGTAATTTGTGTGCTGTAAGTAATGTAAATAAATTATCTATCTATGTATTCCGACATTTCATTGCCTTTGGTCGTGGTTACACACACGTCCATTAACCCGGCCCTTGGGGGGTCAGAGACACCTTCTCTGTCCTCCACTTGGGTAATTCCTGACTGGCGCGTCCTAGTCGCGGGGGTGGGCACCACTCATATCAGTAGGATCGATTGAGATGGTGGCAAAGTTTAGCAGGGACCCAGTTCCGTAGGGTATAATACGGATCCCATGCCCAGGGTTACGGGTGAAGACCTCAACGGCTATAATGGCGGAGATTGCATCAATCGGTACGGCGGAATAGGCGGAAGAGGCAAAATCCCAATGATAGGCTGCCACCAATTATTGGTGTTACAGGCTACATTGGAGCTGGTATTAAACAGAATAACTCTAAGAAGGATGGTGCCGGACGAACCTGATAAACAAACAAACGGCAGCTCTCAAGTTCTCTGGAGAAATTACTGACCTAAAAAGAAAGTGGGATACCTATACCACGAGGACAAGACCTTAAAATAAAAAAATAGGGGATAGAGGCTTGGGTAACCTCTATTACTATAAACC